TGAAAATTTTAAATGAGAAAATATAAGAATCCAGGAGCGGAATGATATGGTCACTTGAGTACAATTACGTCCATTTTTGGAAAAAGGCTGTCAGAGTTATTAAAGGTAGAGGTACACAGAGTATCTTTCTGTTAAACACCCATTAAGATGTATGGATTGTCTCATCAATACAGTAAGCAGCTATCGAGTATCAGGCTTTGTGCTCAACACTGGAGTTCAAAAGCTTTATCCTTCTCCTTGCATCTCATTGGCCAGACCTGGGTCACTAATCACCATAGAGGATGACCGGATTACCACAGATCTGGGAGAAGAGTCTACCTTTCTTGAAATCAAGGAATCTCTGCTTGTTACCTGAACAAAAGCTGGGTTTTTAAAGCAGGAAATAAAGGTGACAATTGCTGTATGCCACAGTGTGTGCCACAGTGTCCTTGTTAAAAAATGTGCAGGTTCACAGCATTCAACATGATAGAGCCCTTAAATTAATAATTTAATATGTCATTCAGAAACAAAAATCATTTTTGGGCTCACTCGCATTTGATCATCATCTCCCCCAAAACTTCAACCACAGACAGGAATTTGAGTTTTGCTGACATAGAACTCTAACAACATGCATTTCATTTAGACTTAGGTTAGGAAAAAAAGTGGTTTCAAATTGAAAAAGATTTTCTTATTTTTTTTAATGCCGAGGAAATGGGTATACCCTAGCACTGATTTTTTAATTGGAAGAGGGAAGCGCAGGTGGGGAGGCTCAAAGGTTTTCTAGAAGATAGAATTTTCTTGGATGGAGTATACTTAGGTTACATGTGTAAGGATATACATAAACTACGGCAAAGTCTGACTCCCGGGACTGACTCAATTCTGAAGCCCCTTTCAACATGGACTGGAGTACAGTTTATATCATTAAACACTTGTCCATAGGTCTACTAGCCCATCTTTTTAAGGCTTCTAAGAAGGTATTTTAGAATATAGAAAAGAGAGAAGATTCCACTGAATTGATTCAATAAGCTTTCTTACACAAGAATGAGGCACATTTAGTAATAGGTGGATGTGGGCATAATTCATACTAACCTTGCACATTTAATACCATTAATTTGTCAAAACTAATAATATTAATTCATTCAAAAATGAGATTAAACCTGGGCACCCCTTGCAGCCGTAATCCGTGACTGATGGCTCTGTGACATGGACAGCCCAGCGCCTCCAGCGGAGTGAACAGCGCATGTGCAGCAGATTGCAACGGGAAACCACCTAGTGTCTCCTAGCTTCAAAGCATCTTAAAAAAAAAAATAGATTGCTTGTCTCTCTGCGCTCCTTGAATGCTCTATTTTAGCAGCCAAACCAACGATGTATATTTAATGCCAACAGGGCAGAGCCACACAATTATTTTTCTAAACAGCATTTAATGGAAATCAGCGGGTATGAAGAGTCCAACCAGGCTCACAAAATGACGGCTGCTGCAGTTGACTTGATTTCTGACCGTGTAAATCAGGTACGGGCATCATTAAGTGTAGCCGACCAAGAATGGTGCAGCATGTTACATGGTGTCACTCTGAATCAGGAAGGACACCCACCTGTCCCTTCTCTTAGTTCCCTCTCTTGTTCCTTTACAATATATTAACACTCCATACCTACTTTTCTCCCGTCTTTTCTCTACTTTTATTCATTCTATCAACATTTACCGAGCACCTACTTGAGTGAGGGACTCCACTAGAGCTGGGCGTATGAAGATTAACAGGAAATGGCAATCTTTCTCACGAAAGTCTTTGCCTATTGACAGCTACTCTGGTGCGAGGAAAAGAGCATACATAAGTCCTGGAGTCAGGCAGCTCCAGCTTCTAGTTCCAGCTGGAATTAGAATAACTAGCCTTGTGACCTTGGACAAATGACTTAGCGTCTCTGAGCTTCTATTTCCTCTTCTGTGAAATGGAGATAATTACCTGAATGCTTATAACATTGTCATGAGGATAACTGAAAAAAATATATATGTAAGACAATTAGTACAATACATGGCAAACAATTATTATTTTAAAAATGATAGCTAACATTGTTGTTTTTATATTATATAAGGTACCCAGCAAAGCACCTGTGTGAAGTAGACACTCAATAAATATTCACTCTCTTTTTCCGTGTTATTTAAGATGATAATTCCTGGACACCAGCCTTAGGGGCGGTGAAGTGGGAGTATTTGGGGTTGGCATGTTCCCTCTTCTGAGCCCCCCTCCCCCCGGGGGGAATCTTCTCCTGTGTCTTCTGTTTAAAGCCTCTGTTTTCAGGGAAAAAAATCTGAGATTTCTCTAGGCTGAAAAATGTGGGCAAATGACTGAAAAGAGAAATGGAACTCTACTGGAGTTGAGTCACCAGCCTGTGGAGAGGGGAGCCTTCTGCTTTATTAGGTGCCGGCACTGGAGATTTCAAGACAGCTCTGCCTTCTGTTCTCATCGCCAGCAGCGTGGCTGTAAACAGGTTCTTGTGATATAGGAAAACAAGCAAAAAAACAAAAAAAGAACGTTTGGGGTCTCATATTCTATAGCAGGCATTTACTGAAGTGTTTTTCCAATCAGAGATAGTTTTCTCTCTAAGACAAATTCTTGGGATAGTTAGAATTAAAAATAAGCTTGTGACATTCATAATAATAGTACCATTTATATGTCCTGTGTAAGTACATGACATGGGTTTTCTCATTACAGCCTTTACAAGCTCTAAGAGGTAGATAACTCATTATCTGCATTTTACAGGTAACGAAACTGAGGCCCGAGAGGCTACCCACCTGGACTAACTGATAAAGCCAGGATTTATGGCCCCTCCTGGATGAATGCAGAGATGATGTGCTCTCCCCTGTACTGCTTAGGAGCTGTTCTTACAAGCTGAGCCTCCATAAACTACATGAAGTGAAGTACAACTTTTATTTCATCATGTGTTTATAAGTGAACTTTTTCTTTACGGCTACTTTAACCAGTAAAGCAAATCGCATGAATAAGTCTGTCAGGAGTGCAGATGACTCAGGCTACTTTTCATGTCTAGCATGGCTGACGGAGTGGGCTGTGCATGGCCCCTGAGGGAGAACTTGGGTAGCTCCCACAGGGACAATGTCCTACATTACAGTGTGTGCTTTTCCTCTAATAGTTTCAATTCAATCTCTCTATCTTTTCTTTTAGGGAGGAATTAGGAGCAAGCCAAGTAGAGAGCAGCTTCCATAAGGCTACCATGGCATGAAGGTGCTAGGTTTGTCTGGAGTATGGGAAAAAGTTTGGAGTGGGGGGGAGGTCAATGAGAAAAGGTGGCTGAGGGTTAAAATGAAAAGATTGGGGCTTGATTGTTAAGGGTCTTGATTCCCAGGCAAAGGGATTTGGATGTTACCAGGTAGCAGTGGGGAGCAGTTGGAAGTGTTTAAGACAAAAGTCACAAATGAGCCCTGAGTTTTGGACCACCTGGGTAGCAGAGTGGAGGATGGAGGGAAGCTAGCGGTCTTGGAGGCAGGGAGACCCATTGGAACATGAGTCTGATGGATTACCTTAGACACCTGAAGACCTGGATGAGAGCTTGCACAATGTGCATGAAGAAGAAAGGATATATATTCAAAAGATGCTTTGGAAGTAGAATGGGAGGATGAGGAGGTAGCCCACTGTTTATTGTATATGGATTGGGGATCATGAAGAAGGCTCCAGGATAACTCTGAGTTTCAAGACCAGAGATGACAATTAGATTTCATCTCAAATGCTGAGAGGATTCTGAAGTGAAGAGCTGGCTTAGTGATCTTGCCACAGGTTCAGGAAGAGCACTTGCTAGTTATTTCTAGAGTAAAGGAGTGGTTTGCCGTGGAGTAGGCCTTTATCTTTGAAGTAAATTCATGATGTTGTCTAATAATGATGATTTTATTGGTCTTCTTCAGCATGAATGCTAAAGATTAGAAGATGCAACAAGATAATTCAGAACCAACACACAACCAGCTGCAAGGCTGAGCTAAAAGATCAGAACCGTGGGATACCAAAAATAGTAACAAAATAAGAAAATATATTACAAAGGTACAATAAACTTTTTCAAACAATGTAAATGTTAGAGGGCTATGAGATGAGTACAAATTCTTCCAGATGTTTTCGAAAAACTGACTATAAAACTCTCTTAAAAAGTGTAGACTCATGCTGTTGTTTTGCTCACCACCTCTTCACCTCATGGTGGGAGAGAATTTTGCTCTAGGATTCTGGGGAAGGCTGGATATGACACTGGACAGAACAGATGAGATTGCCAGCAGTTGATTGGTCCCATAGACTCACGGCCTGGGGAGGAGGACCCCGCATGCTGTGCAGAGCCACACGGGGATTGTACTCAGGAGCAGAGTGAAGCAGCAGGCGCTGTGGAAGAAGGCTTGTGGTAACGAGAGGATGACATGACGTCTGGTTCCCATGGGAGGATGGGAGTGGCTTGTCTGAATAATGCCACAGGCTTGCGGAGACTCGTTTTCACAGACTTGTGAAACTCGTTAGGTTGAGGGCCAGGGGCGGAGCAGCTGGTCTGGCTGCTGGCGGAACTGTCGGGATAGGGAGCCTGTCCCACTGGGTGGGTGGCATATTTGGCAAAAGCAAGGGAACTCAGAGTTCAGACTTGGGGACCCCATGAGGCTCAAAGATGTCAAGGCAGCACATGGAATTTTAGGCCTTATAATACAGCTATCTGGCCTATACAGCCACACGTGGCTATCGAACACCTGGAATGTGGCTGGTCTGCACTGAGATGCGCTGTAAGTGTAAAATACACACCAGATTTTAAGGACTTGATACAAAAAAAGAATGTAAAAATATCTCATTAATTTTTTAATTAATTACATGTTGGAATAATAATATTTTGGATATATTTTTGGGGTTAAGTAAAATATATTACTGAAATTAATTTTATCTGTATCTTTTTACTTTTCTTTAGTGTGACTATTATAAAACTGAAAATTACATATCTGGCTCATGTTTGTGGTTCACATTATGTTTCTGTTGGATGGTGTTAGCACACACCTTCCTCTAGAAAAGTGAGAAACTCAGAATACCTCAGGACAGCTGACTGATCTCCGTAGTACGGAAAACTCCCATGCAACTGACCCAGAGACTTATTGTTGCTCTTTACTGCCATTATCACGCCTCAAACAGGCCCCTAGCAAACAGGTGGGTTTTTTCTGGCCCTGGCCGAATCTCAGCCTCATTGACTGGCATTCCAAATTTGCTTAGCTGAAGTTCAGGAAAAGAGGTTTGACTATTAAGCTATTGAGCCGAGTTGAGCAAAGCCACAGGAGAGCCTGCAGTGGGGCAGCCGTGCCCCATGCCTGCTGCTGTGACGCACGGGGCCGGGGACACTCTGCATCATCACACAGGATAGGTTTGTAAGCCCCTGGTATTGATTGCACTGGAACAAAATATCAAAAAGCTTCAACCAATTTATACAGGTTAAAAAAGAGCAACAACTGATCATTTTGTCCAGAAACTTGAAACCAGGAGGCCAAAAGCATATCACACTAAATAAATTAGAATTAGGGCAATTTCACATACTCAGCAAAAAAAAAAGAAGTGCTATCTTGGGAGGCAAAAACCTGTGGTTCAAAGAATGTTTCCCTGGTTTTTCATTAAAATGCTCTATTAGATGCTAATTTTGCAGTTTGCTGCTGTGATTACTGCTCAGGAATGAAATGCAGCCAAAGGATATGGTTTCACTATAAACAAAACAACAGCTTGCTGTCTAAGTGTTCGAAACAGCTAGTATGCATTAGCAATAAGCCAGAAAAATCTCCTAAAGGAAGAACAGAGGGACACTTTTTAGATATTGACTATTTATAAACCATCCTACTAAGGTAAGGGTCCTTATACAGCTCTCAGTCAGCTGGTTTCCACCTCAATACGACCTCAGCACCTTGCCCAGAAGACAGTCCTCATCTCAGAGAAAGCTTGGCTCTGCTCCTTTAAGTTTTCTCAAAGGAAAAGAAATACTCATTTCAATCTTATTATTAAATAATAATAATAACGGTAGCCTGCAATTATTCATGTGAGTCAGGCATTGGACTAGGAATTATATACAGGCTTTACAACAAATCTTCAAAATTGGTAAAGCTTATTTCCCAATTTTGCATATGAGGAAATGAAGCTCAGAGACATTGGTTTATCATTCAGAAGTGCCTTGGCTGCAAATAATAGAATACTTGACAACTGGTGGCTTAAGCAAGTTGGAGTTTATTTGGCTCATGCTGCAAGATGTCATGGGGAGGCAGTCTAGGGTCACTAACTGTCTCAAAGATCCTAGGGACCAGGCTCTTTGTGTCTTTTCACTATGCCATTCAGAGTGTGTTGGCTGTTGTCCTTGGATTCATCATTGCCATGTGACTGCTAGACCTCTAGCTGGAAGAAAGGAGAAGGACAGAGAGGCAAAAGACTCTGCCAGCTGAGGCTGCCCTTCTTAATTAAAAGTTTCCCCAGAATCATATCCAGTGTCTCATTGGCCAGAACATATCTCATAGCTACCTCTATCTGCAGAGAAGTCCAGGAAACAGCATTTTTATCTGGACAAAGAACCTAAAAAAGGATTTTTTTAAGCAAGGAATAAGTGGAGAATGATAGGCCAGTAACTTTAGTGTCTATCACTTTGGGATTAGATTCCAGGGTGGTCTGATTCCAAAACTCATGTTCATGAAAAGATTTTCCCAACAGCTAGATAAACAATTCCAAAACTACTCTTGTCTCTTCCTCCATCTAAGCCTTTACCAGTATGTTTTTGGCCCCAAAGACCTGCCTCAAATCCTTTGCATTTAAGTACCAAGTTATTGGGACTAAGCTTCATGTTTTTGCTAAAATAATGTTTTCTCCTTAGGAGACATGGGATGCTAGTAGATGAAATGTGGGATATTTTAGTAATTGGAAAAGAGATGAAGGATTTGTGTGAGCTTGTGTATACACAAGTGTAGAAGTCAAAGCTGCGGAGGAAAGACTTTTCAGAGACAGCAGCTGATGAGAGAGACCGTGAATTGCAGAACTGCAGAAGGAACAGGAAAGGCCGCCATAAATGTGTCCTTCTTCTAGGATAGCGATAAATCCATCACAGGGAAACCTGTATGGATTAGTCACACTTTCTGAGGCAGTCCCACTTTTGAATACTCTGTCCTGTGACAGATCAAATGTTTGATTGTGTGTCCTGATCCGTCATGTGTGAAATATGGCCCCTTAGCTGTGAGCTACTGACGATCTTTGGGGTCAGTTTCTATCACAACACCCTGAACCTCTTTATGCTCTCTGTCTGTGAGGGATTCAGAGTTCGGCCATGCCCTCTTCTCTGTTCTTTGTGATGAGTTTCCAGGGCTGGACTCACATTTCCAGGTCAAAGCGCTTCTGCAGTTCAGACCTCTGAGCTTGGTGTGCTCACAGGGCCAGCCAGTTTCTTAAATTGAAAATTTTCTTGGAGTTGCTAATGATTAACAAACAAACACGCATAATCCGTTTTATCTGAAATCATTGTACCTGGTTACAGATATGCTAATGAAACAGATGTAGTTATGGCTTTTCTCTCAAATCAAATGAGCAAAAAAATTAAATATTGTGTTACATTTTAAGTGTTAACCCTTGCAGAAATGTTTGAATTTTATCATATAAACAGCATTATTTTAATTCAACTCTATGGGCTGCTTAGTTATTAACTAGGAATATCACAGCCATTATAAGAATACAATTATTGTACTAATTTATACCCAGTGGTCAACTATATTCATTTTTCATATTTGCTTCCAATTTCATTCAAACTATGATATTTTATATTGAAAAAGTGCCTACATTGTCTTTATAAAGGGCAGGGAAATGCCGCTGTACTTATTTCACAATGAGCTAATAAAATTTTATTCCACAGCTTTTGGTTCTTTGTTTTTTTGCCCTTCCCCTCGCTTCAAAAGCTCTGGCATCTGGGAAATTTTGCTAACGTATATTTTAAAAGATACTGCAGTGACTGAGGCTTGCTTTCCAAGGCTTTTTTTCAAATTTTAAATTGAAAATGACAATGGACAAGACTAATAAAGGGCAGTTAATCAGTGCTTTGTCTCATCTTCTGGCTTGTCAGTTCCAAATTTTTAGTCCAACGAATAGCAGTTTGGGGTGTTTGTTTAAGGTGGCATGTGGCCGATGGTTTCTGAGGCTCTCTTTCTAGAGTCAGGACACCATCTCAACACCGGCTCATCCATAACCCTGGGGTGGGTCCAAACGGGACTAGAGGTGTGAAATGTTCTCATTTCCCATTGACTGGTTGTGTACTTCCCTCGTGCTAATCCCTTGTTAATGGACACTTTCTTTGAGCCAGCTGAGATCGGAGTTGTATTGTCTCTGTGATTCTAGCAGATTTCATTACTTGGATATCTTTGTTTTCATTATTTTGAGATTTTGGGATTTTGTCTGTTTCATTGATATTGATTCTCTCAGAGATGGCCCGGCCTCCCACTGCTTCTGTTTGTGTTTGATCTACAAACAGTGGGAGGGAATCCTCAGGCTGCAAATGTTTTGGCTCTATGCTTCAACTGGGAAAGGCATAGTAAGAGCCATTAGCAGCTTTCTCAACTGAAAACAGACAAATATGGCTTTAAATCTAGGTAGGGGACCTATATTTTGTCATTTAAATGACCCCAAGTCATTGTTCTGGGGCACTCATTTTAGAGGGCAATTGTGGAATTTTGAAGAGCTCTGGCAATCACTTTCTGAGAAATCCAAAGAAAAATACAGTTCCTTCCTTCAGTTATTAGCTCTGCCTCTTCCTAACTGTGTGACTTTGGGCAAGTCACTTTACCTCTCTGGGTTTCAGTTTCCTTATCTTTAAAATGAAGATACTAGACCAGATGCTCTCTAAGTTCTTCCTCTTCTTGATTAATAGGTGGAAAAGAAGTACCGTTACTTGAGCTGTTACTATAAGTTCAGGTGTTTAAATATTTTATTCCAAGGGTAGACAGTTATTTCATTTAGCAACAACTCTGTGGTAAGTATTATTATCCCATTTTGCAGGTGAAATAACTGAGTTAAAATATAGGTACGTGTTCTATCTGTGCTGAGGTATAGTTTTCTAGATAACCTTTCATATGGAAAAATGTACCTTCTCTCCCCATTAAGATTATAAACTCTTGGAGGGGAGAGACTACCTCTGCCAAACCCCCCGCCAGGGCTGGGTTCTGGATAAGTGTCTGTAAGATTAGGTGGCTTAGTGGTTTATGACTTATGAGGATAAGACACCCCTTTGGCAGCACCCCAAGCAAATGGGTCATGACACTGAAAATGCGCTAGTCAGCCGTGGGGTTGCCTCAAGGTACCAGGCTGACTTCAGATGGCAGCTAGAGACCTCTGATGGCCCTCCTCTGGGGATTCGAGCTGTTTATTGCCTTGTCATCTGACTAATTGCTAGAAAGATGTCCCTTTTTGCTCAAGATCCCTTTTTGGGTAACCTATCCTTTTACTTACAGGTCTGTTAAGAAAGGTTAAAAATTGACTAAAAAGGAAGTAAATTAAAAAAAAATGCTTATTAAGTATCAGCATTAGTAAGGATATTTTAAAAACTGAAACATGTTGGCAGAAGTATTTTATAAATGCACGATTAAAAATGCGATCTAAATTGGCTGGAGGTTTACAACGGTTGCAATAAAAATGCCGTCTCAGAGGGAAGCCTGCTTTTGCGCTTCCCTCCGTTTTCAGTGGGCGTCCCTGTCTTTGCGGGAGGCAGGGCCTGAACCGGAGGCTTTTTTAAAACATGGAGGTAGAGGAGCCCATGGGCAGGTCCGGACTGAGACAAGAGGACTTAATAACTTCACTCTCTTTCAAACTGATGTTCTTTACATTTATGCTCACTATGCAGAAAGGGCTGAAGGCTTAGGGTGGGAAGTTCAGAGAACACCAACTGCTGGTGTCAATAATTCAGCTCTGGCCCCAAATTTCTAATTCCCACGGAACAAAACAAAACTCTTGCAGTTAACCGAGCTCACTCTTCTTAGAAGAGTTTGGTAACCATCGATCGCCCCTCATAGCATGCTCTTCGGGGTTTAATAATTTCATACTTCAAGCTGTTTATCAAAGAATTCCTTTTAACCTGTTGCGGTTCTCTCCCTGGAAAGTGTCCTAGTAAGTATAGTT